GACACTTTATTTGCAAAGTTAATATTGTAAAGATGGTAATAAGACTGTGGAAAAAAATAACGAAGTTCCAGGGCTAGGATGTGGCTCAGTGGCAGAGTGCTTACCCTGCGTGTGTGAGGCACTGGGTTCTACCCCAATGACCCCAAATAAATAAAGCAGACAAGAGGGGTGGTGGGGGGCATGCGTGTGTGTGGTGTGTGTGTGTGTGTGTGTGTAGGCCAGGGGAGGTTGCTGTTTTAGGTAACGGGTTCTGAAAAGGTCATACTAATTCATAAGGAATTGAGGAGGTGAGCCAGGTGGAAATTGGGGGAAGAGTGTCTTAGGTGAGGGGACAGTCAGGACGAAGGCCCTGAGGCAAGAATGCGCTGGTGGGTTTGAGGAACTGGAGGCCCGTGTGGCTGTGTGAATGGGGTGAACAGGTGCATAGGTGCCGGGGCCCAAATATAGAGGTTTCCCTGCCTGCCTGCCTAAAATAATAAAGTATCTCAACTAATTTGGCTGCTGGATCAGCTGCACCTTTATCGTGTTGATCCCTCACTGTGATTATCTGAACAAAGCTCTGGCCCTTCTCCCCAGAAAAATGTACACCAATTTCTTTAAAAAAAAACTTCTTTTTGGTAGTTGTAGGTGAACAGAATGCCTTTATTTTATTTGTTAATTTTTACGCGGTGCTGAGGGTCGAACCCAGCGCCTCCCCCATGCCAGGCAAGCGCTTTGCCACTGAGCCCCAGCCCAGCCCCCCATTTCTTATACCAAGTTCAGAGTGTCTCCAGAATCCCCCAGGGACCGCGACACTCGCCCCTCTAGTCACATCGCAGGGTCTGACACTCTGGCGCAGGTTCTGGACAAACACGGGGACATCTTCGGGCGGGAGCGGATTGCCGAGCTGCTGGGCATGGACCTGGCCTCGCTGGAGATCACGGCGCACAGCGAGCGCAAGCCGGACCCTCCCCCAGGGCTGCTGACCTGGTGAGCAGGGACAGGGGCCTGGGGTGGGAAGGGAGGCGGCCAGCCCCGGGCACCCCACCATCCCGGCCCTCCTCGCCCCTGCAGGCTCATGTCCATCGATGTCAAGTACCAGATCTGGAAGTTCGGGGTCATCTTCACGGACAACGTGAGGAGGGGCCTGGGGGAGGGCCCCGCAGGGGGGGGCGGTGGGGGGGCTCCAGTCCTGTGTCCCCACCCCCAGGGTGACTCCTGAGCCCCTGTGATCCTAAGGTACTTTCTCAGCCCTGAGCTTCCTCAGGATGCACTTGGAACCCAGACCCCGCCTTCTGCAGAGGGTCCCCGCTGCCCCCCAGGTCCCCAGCTCAGAGGCCCCCAGCCCTCCGCACACCCGCTCCCCAGGGAGGGCAGCCCAGTCCCTCAGCGCCCACAGGCTCCCTGACCCCAGGCGCCCTGTGCCCGCAGTCCTTCCTGTACCTGAGCTGGTACATGGTGATGTCCCTCCTGGGCCACTACAACAACTTCTTCTTTGCCGCTCACCTCCTGGACATCGCCATGGGAGTCAAGACGCTGCGCACCATCCTCTCCTCCGTCACCCACAACGGGAAGCAGGTGTGGTGGAGAGGACCTGGGAGGGACAAGGTGGCAGTCTGGGTGGGGTGGAGCTGTGGGGATGGGGTGGCTGGGGACCAGCAGGGAGGGCGGGCCGGGCCCAGGGGGCAGCGAGGCCTGTGGGCTGAGCCTCCCCGGCCTGCCCCCAGCTGGTGATGACCGTGGGCCTCCTGGCCGTGGTGGTCTACCTGTACACCGTGGTGGCCTTCAACTTCTTCCGCAAGTTCTACAACAAGAGTGAGGACGAGGACGAGCCCGACATGAAGTGTGACGATATGATGACGGTGAGCCCGCCCAGCCCCCCCCAGGTCACTGGCCTCTGTTGTCCTGTCTGTAAAGGGGGTTATTAACAGCAGCTGCCTGCTGGGCTCGTGACAGCTCAGACGGCTCCTATGTCTAAGGTGCCAGACCCACGGTTAGTGCTCCCCAGATATTAGCCGTGGTTTTGATATTATTTGAGACATTAAAACTATGTGTTACTGGGCTGCGGGTGCAGCTCAGGGGCAGAGAGCTTGCCTAGCATGTGCGAGGCGCTGGGCTCCATCCCCAGCACCACCAAAGGAAAAAAAGCTTCGAATAGTGCCTGACATGCAGTAAGATTACGTAGATATTAGTCACTATCAACCTGTAATTAAAAACACCAGCATGCCCAAGATTGTGGTGGCACACACCTGTAATCCCAGCAACTAGGGAGGCTGAGGCAGGAGGACTGCAAGTTTGAGGCCAGTCTCAGCAACTTAGTGAGGCCTAAGCAATTTAGTGAGACCCTGTCTCAAAATAAAAAATAAAAAGGGCTGGGGGTGTGACTCCATGGTTAAGTGCTCCTAAATAAAAGTACCAGCGTGCAGGTAGTTCTATTTTTTCTTCTATTCTAATAACAGTGATCATAATCCAAATTGGCTTTAACCTACTAGAGGCAGGGACACAATTAAAAGAATCATTTCAGGGGATTATCTCAGGAAATGATCTGTAAATCCAGCTCCTCCTGACATTTGAGGCCCTATAAGACTGGCCCTCCCACCCACAGCTTTGTTCCCATCAGTCAGTGATTTTTAGCTCTTACTTAAGCCTCATTATGGCTTACAAAGGCGGGATCGAGGAGGGGTAAATCCTGAGTCTACTCTGTGTAAGTCTAACCACAATCCCTCTTGCTTTTTACTTTCTGGCTGCCTGTTCCTCTTTCAGTTCTCTAAGACCATATGTTTCCTCCTGACTCAGGCCCTTTGCACTTGGTCCCCATCCCAGGCACAACATGCACATCCCTTCATATGACCCCTCACCTTTCAACTCAAATGCTGTCTCCTCCAGGAAGCCCTCCCTGACCACTGCTGGGGCCTGGGCCTGCAGTGCCCATGTAACCAGACTCTGCTTTATTGATCATCTCTCTCCTGCTCCTGTCCCCTGCTGTTGCCCATAAAATCCACTTCTCAGCCCACCAAATCTCTTTCAGTTCCCCATGGGAATAAGATTTTATTTATTTTTGGTGGTGCTGGGGATGGAACCCAGGGCCTTGCACGCGGAGGGCTACGTGCTCTTCCCCTGAGCTGCACCCTCCTTCTGCAACATTGAGCCTTTCCTCCCCGACTGTGATGTTGCACCTGTGGTTTTCTTGCCTGGAACCTCTTTCCCACCAGCCACGCACCTCACACCTCCCTCTGGTTCCACTCACACGCGTCCCCCTTCCAGGAAGCCTCGCTGATCACCTAGAAGGGGTCAGGAGCTCAGCGAGCTCTGGAGGCTTCCTGTCCTTCTCCAGCTCACCCTGATCACATGGCTGCCTCCCCCAGCCTGGCCTCGGCCGGTTCCTGTCTATCACAGCCCTGACCGTTTCTGGGCTGTCACTGATGCAGTATCTATGAGCCCTGAGAGGACTCTAGGCTGTCACTGTCTCTGCTGGTGTCCAGCCCTGCCTAGCCCAGGGCCTTGGCTGGTACTCAGTGAATGGCCACTGCACAGTGGAGTGAGTGACCACATGCCCCCATCCCCAGTGCTACCTGTTTCACATGTATGTGGGTGTCCGGGCTGGCGGAGGCATCGGGGACGAGATTGAGGACCCAGCGGGCGATGAATACGAGCTCTACCGGGTGGTCTTCGACATTACCTTCTTCTTCTTCGTCATCATCATCCTGCTGGCCATCATCCAAGGTCAGTGCTGGCCGAGGTGCTGGGTGGGAGTGGACACTCCATGCCCAGATGCTCCATGGCTAAGAGTGCAGACCACGAGCCAGTCTCCGTGGATTCCTGTTTCAGCTCTGCTTCTCTCTATATGAAACTCTGGGCAAGTGGCCTCAGTTTCTCTATCTGCCACATGGGGGTATTAATGGTGCTTAACTTCATCGGGTTGCATGAGAATTAAGTCCGTCCATCCCTTTTAAGTGTTTTGTAGTAAGTGCTTAATAAACACCTAGTTTTATTCTTCTTAGCCAGTAGGGTGAGACTGGGGAGAGAGGGGCTAGAAGGCCCGGCCCAAAGACAGATAGCTGGGACTAGGAGGAGTCCGAACTGGGTCTGAGTCTGGCTGACCTGCGTTCTGCCTCCCCAGGTCTGATTATCGATGCCTTTGGTGAGCTCCGAGACCAGCAAGAGCAAGTGAAGGAGGATATGGAGGTGGGTCAATTGTGGGGTGACCCCGAGGGATTATGGGATGCTGGGTAGCCAAATGGGCCTCAACTCTGCTGTCTTTCACCCCCTTCAGACCAAGTGCTTCATCTGCGGAATAGGCAGCGACTACTTTGACACTACACCGCACGGATTTGAGACCCACACGCTGGAGGAGCACAACCTGGCCAATTACATGTGAGCGCAGGCCGCTGGCCAATCGGGAGGGCGGGGGCGTGGCCAGGGTGCCAGGCGTGGCTACTGAGTTGGGGAGGGTTAGGGAAGGGGGTGTGGCGTCCACGTGGGTGGGGTTCGCAGCCAGCCAATCAGAAGGTAAGAGCGGTTCCCACCTGTGTCCTCCCTCCCTCAGGTTTTTCCTGATGTATCTGATAAACAAAGACGAAACGGAACACACGGGTCAGGTAAGGGGCGCTAATGAACGACAAGGGGCAGGGACGTTATCAGGCCAATGAACAGGTGACAGTAGAAAGCTTAAGTCAATATCAAGGCGTGACCAAAGGACTCTTCTCCTCCCCCAACCCAGGAGTCCTATGTCTGGAAGATGTACCAGGAGAGATGCTGGGATTTCTTCCCGGCCGGCGACTGTTTCCGCAAGCAGTACGAGGACCAGCTCAGCTGAGCGGCCCCCACCTCCCTACCTCAAGTGCCTTACTCTCACCGAAAGCCCCCAGCCCCTGCCCTCAAGGAAGTTGAGGGCGAGGTGACCTTGCACTGGAGAAATAAAATCTATGCTAGACCCCCTGGCATCACTGTTGGTTGTTGAAATTTGGGGGGAGAGGACACCCAGAAATTCTGCCTCCCCTCAGAAAAACAAGATGACCGCATAGGCTAAAGTCACATTTATTAGAAGACGACGCTATGACATGACCACTAGTGTGTACTTTGGAGAGGTGGATGCAGGGACCCGTTCCTAAAAGACCCTGTAGGGTCATTCCTGGATGTAGAGGTTGCTGGGGGCAGTGGGGTCGTCGGCTGGTCTCGTCTCCACCACCACAGGCCTGGGAAGGGAGAAGCAGGTCATCTGTTCATTCACAAGATAAGTTAATAGAGACGTGCCCATGCCCAATGCTGGGGGGAACAATGACCACACTGATGTGGTCCCTACGGTTGTGGAGCCTGTCATCTAAGGGAGGGCAACAGAAATCAATGATCACATGGGTGCAAAGAAGCAGGGGATGCATGGCAGAGAAACTCACCCCAAGAGGACAGGTAAGGTTTCCCCAAAGATTGTACAGGGGAGCCTGAGGCTGTTCAGAAGGGAATGCGGTAAAAGAACAAGAAAGAGAGTTTGGGGCCAGATGCAGTAGTGCTCGCCTGTAATCCCAGCAGCTCCAGAGGCTGAGGCAGGACGATTGCAAGTTCAAAGCCAGCCTCTGCAACTTACTGAGATCCTGCCTCTAAATAAAATATAAAAAGGGCTTGGGGGGGGGGCTGGACTTGGGGCTCAGCAGTAGAGTGCTCACCTAGCACGTGTGAGGCCCTGGGTTTGATCCTCAGCAGCAGAAAAAAATAAATAAAGGTATTGTCTCCTACTACAACTAAAATATAATTAAAAAAAAAAGGGGGGCTGGGGATGTGCTCAGTGGTTATGTGTCCTTGGGCTCAATCCCTTGTACCCCCATCTCCCCCCCACACACACACACACAAAAAGAGTGTTCTGGGCAAAGAGAACAGATGTGCAAAACCTTTGATGAGGAGAGGCTGGGTGTGGCTGGACTTGTGGGTTGAGGCCAGTACTGAGTGTTTCCCTTGAGGCCTCGGGAGGATTTGAAGCAGAGAGACAGTGAGATGGTCAGACCTGGATTGTTAAAAGGCCCCCCCGACACATCTAAAGGACACAGGGAACATGCTATGAGAACTATATCTCAGTAGAGCTGTTAAAAACAGATATCTCTATAACCATATCCATTCAACCTTTTGCAGTCACTATCTTTTTTTAAAAATATTTTTTTAGTCGCAGATGGACACAATACTTTTATTTTCTTGATTTATTTTTACATGGTGCTGAGGCTCAAACCCGGCGCCTCACATGTGTTAGACACACACTCTACCACTGAGCCCCAGCCTCAGCACCCTGCAATCATTATCTTAATGTAAATTCTGAACTATGTAACCATTGAAAGGATTAATAATTAAAATTCCTTTATCTAAAAAAAAAAATGGAGCCCTTTACAGGGCCTCCCATTGGCTAAATGCGAGACTATTTGAGCCTCAAGACAAAAAATTATAATAGATTACAGGATGAATAGAGTGAAATAGAAATCTATGAGATGATGCTGATATTAATAAATAAAAAGGCGCCAGGTGTGGTGGTGCGCACCTGCAACCCCACTGACTTGGAGGTTGAGGCCCTGTCTCAAAATAAAAAATAAAAGTAGATATAGTTCAATGATAAAGAGCACCCTGGGGCTAATCCCCATAACTAACTAAATAAATAAATAAGAATAAAAAGAGAGGAAGGGGGCTGGGGCTGTGCGCCCTGGTGGAGCGTGCGCCTTATATGTGAGGGGCCCTGGGTTCAGTCCTCAGGATCAAAGGGGGAAAACATGGATAAAACAAAAATGATTTTTTTTTAAAGTTACTCTTTGGGGAATCTGAGTGAAAGGGATTCAGGAATTTTTTTTTTGTATTATTTTTCTAACTTCTTGCAAATTTAAATTTATGTCAAAATAAAAATTAAAATAATTATTTTAATGACTTAAAAGTTAAAATAAAAATACAAAATGAAAATGCCCCCTGACTGCTGTGCAGGGAGTAAACTGTGGGAAAAGGGATGGAAGCAGGAAGACACAACTGTCCAGGTCAAAGTTACGGGTGGCTTGTAATCCCGAGGCTCAGGAGGCTGAGGCAGGAGGATTGCAAGTTCAAGGCCAGCCTCTGCAAAAATCAAGGCACTAAGCAACTCAGGGAGACCCTGTCTCTAAGTAAAATACAAAATGGGGCTAGGATGTGGCTAGTAGTCAAGCGCTCCTGAGTTCAATCCCCCATGTGTCCCTCCAAAAAAGGTGTGGGTGGCTGTGACACCTCAGGAAGCCCTCTCCACGTCAGAAGCTCCCTCTCTGGACCTTCTGTCCCCCTCCCCAGCACTGTACCTGGGGGAGCCAAGCAGACGGAAGGTGAGGGTTGGGTCTCTCAGCTCCTGCAGCAGCTGGGGAGAAAATGAGTGTGTCAGTGACAGAAGACCCCTCCCCACTTCCCACCAACACGTCTCCCTTAAGGAGAACAAGGAGAGGTTTCTGTGTGTCTGACATCAGATCCAACACCATGTACCAGCCGTGGGACCGCGGCAAGTTACTTAACTTTTCTGTGCCTCAAATTACTAACCTGTAAAATCTTAGTACCTATCTGATTGGTTATTGTAAAGATTAAACAAAACATTAAAATGCAAGGGTAGAGTCTGATACCGTGTTCTATGAGATAAGCCCCACTTGCCCTCCATTTTCCAAAGGAGGACAGTGGGGCACAGGACAGTGAAGTCATGTGTCTAAGGTCACTCAGCTGGTTCCAGTGCAGGCTTCTGGTCCAGGCTCTTGGCCCCCACCTTACAGTCAAGGCTTAGAGGCTGAGAGAGAAGGAAACTCCCTTGCACAGCATCATATGGTAAGCCTGGGCTTGGGGAGACCGTGGGGCAGAGAAGGGGCTCCGTCTGCACTGAAACTGGAGGAAGGTTCCATCCAAGACACCAAGCCCATGTTTAAATGTCATTGATGACCGTGACCGAGGCAGGCCGATTGGCGTGGAGGGGAGGAGCTTACCTGGTCGGAACCTGGAGCCCACACCTGGACTCCGTGCTTCCAGAAGGCCTGCAGCCTGCCCCCGACCATAGCTGGGGAGAAGCAGCAGCCGTTACCCCTGGGGCTCACTCAAGCCTCATCCCCGCCCCCAGGAGTCCCCACCTCTGCACATACCCACGGCCTCCACCGGTTCCGTCATGGGGATCTCAGATGTGCGAAGTCCCGGGACTGGGGCCCCCTCTGGCGTCACCAGCTTCAGGGAGCCTAGCCAAGTAGAACGAGGGTGTTAAGAACGGAGGGCAGGGCGCAGGACATCGGTGCCGAGCAGGCAATAAATTCAGTGTGAAAAGCCAAGAAGGAAGTGGGGGTGGGGAGCCGTGGGGCGCGGCCTGGAGGGGCTCAGGGTTTCTGAGACAGGGAAAGGGCGAGGGCCGGGCAGGGGCTCTTACCATCCATCAACACCATCACCATGTCTTCCTTTACTTGGGTCACCTGCACTGCTCCCTTGTGCTCTAGAGGACGGGAGTCAAGAAAAAACTCCACCAGGTTCTCTCTTCTCCCACAGGGTCCCCCTAGACCAGGGTCTCACTAGGCAGTGCTCAGGTCCCCTGCAATTAGGCCAGGCCCCGCCCACCTCCCAAGCCCCAGCGGGAAAATCTCACCATTTAAATAAAACCCGCTGTCCCACTCCTGGGTCAGTACTGCCTCAAGATAAGCCCCGCCCACGCCCACTCAGCCCCGCCCACTCACCGGTGCTCATCTCTCCCAGCCAGCAGGACAGTGCACCGAAGCGTACGGTGTGGAAGAGCACTGACTTCGCCAGCCGGCCCGGGCTCACGCCGATGCACACGGCCGGCAGGTCGGAGCCTGGCGAGGTCAGCAGCGCGAACACTGGCAGAGGCGTGGGCAGTGGAAACAGCACCTGCTGCTGGCCGCAGGGCAGGGGCGGGATCAGTGGGAGCAGGGAGTGGCTTGCCTTGCTATAAGGCTACGGGCTTTTTTTTTTTTTTTTTTTTGTCGCACTGGGGACTGAACTCAGGGGCGCTCAACCATTGAGCCACAGCCTCTGCCCTTCCTATTTTGTTTTAATTTTGAGACTGTCTCGCTGAGTCTGGCCAATTTACTCAAACTAGCCTCGAACTTGCTATCCTCCTTTCCCAGCCTCCGGAGTCGCTGGATTACAGGCGTGCACCACAGCGCCTGCGCAGGCCTAGGACTTCTGAAGTATATCCTGGGCCCACAGTCTTGAGAGGTGCTATCTGGAAATTTCAAGGTGTCAGAGGCCTCAGAGGGTTTGGGGCCTCCTCAGAAAACGAGGGGTGTGGCTTCAAAGTGTGTGTGGCTTTGATTGAAACCTGGAGATAGGCAGGGACCCCCAAGGTACAGGTCCTCAAGGACAGTAAAATCCTATCTTCTTAGATAGTCAAAGAAAGCAACAGGTCCTGAATGGCTTCTCCTTAGAAATCTGGGGCTGGGCACAGAGTCTGAGAAATCCTTGGGGCCAGGTGTGAAGGGCGGAGCTTAAGAATCACGAAGCCCTGTGAAGTGCGAGGGGTGGGCGGGGCCTCTATGGAGGCGGGGCTTCAGGGAGCTCTCCACCTAAGCTCCTAGGGTGGAAGGCCCTAGTCACCACTGCCTGTCCAGAGTCCATAGTACCTGGAGTCCCAAGTCCCTTACCCGGACCAGCAGGAACTTGTTCATGGGCTGGTACCACTGGAGCAGGACCACGGAGGTCTCCAGCGCCCCGCACAGGAATGGGCCCCCGGAGCTCGCACCCTCAGCTGTGGGGGTGGGCAAGGATGGGTCAGGGTCAATTCCCTCTCCTCCCTGCTCTCCTACCGCGAGGCCCAAAGCACAAACTCTGCAATCTTCCAGAGAGGATGTAGCCCAAGCCCCGTCCCCGGCACGCCCCGCCTCCCCGGCACGCCCCGCCTCCCCGGCACGCCCCTTGGGTTCCGGCTCACCCACACAGCACGCCCGGCAGCCCTTGGTGTCCTGGATCTTGGTGGAGACCATGTTTCTCCTGGAAGAAGAGGTAGGTGTGAACAGGTGGGAACAACAGGGGGAGGGGAGATCACAGGGCCGGGGTGTCCTTTGGGGGCTGTTACCTTCCCAGTAGCCGGTGGGGGCTAATGTGAGCGATGGGGCTTCCTGCTCTGGTCTCTTTCCGTTCCAAAAGGCCCAGGATGCTATGAGAATACAGGTGGGGGGTCTTTCCTGCAGTGTGTGTGTATGTGGGGGGAAGCAGTTATAGGACCCCGCTACCACCTCTTCCCCCCCATCGCTTCACGGGGCCCCAGACCTTTCTCTGAAACTCCCACAACTGCAAATCGAGAGCGCTTTTCATTCATTCCTTTCTCATTCGATACATTTTAAAGGCCTAGAGTTGGCCAGGTGCTGTACTTGGCTCCGGTAAAAAGTACTGAATATGTTCCCTACCCTCATAGTACTTGTGGCCACATAAGAAATTAAACTGTGAACACTTAACCAGTAAGATGGAGTTACACATATTAAAGTTTAAGAAAAAAAATCTAGAAATTCTAAAGTCTGTTATAACAGATGTGACATTAAGTGGCTCATGAATCCTATTTGACTTGGTGTTTCTCTCAAAACTAGCAATTCTTTTGCACAAAATATTTACAAAACAATGACACAGATTTTTAAAAATCTATAACTTGCTCGTTTTATTTTAATAAAGTCAGAATAACTTCTGATGGCCATTTGAATATTGAAGCTATTTAAACACTAATTTATTGTAGAAATTACCTCAAGACTGACTTGAGGCCTAGCGTCAGCTCTGTTTTACACACAAGGAAACTGAGGCTCTTGCCTTATGTCCCAGGTGGAAAACTGGGTGGGATTTGAAGCCATGGCTCAGTTCAAGGGCAGCCTAAATTTTCTTAAGCTCTGCTCATCTACCTCCCAACCCCCTGACCCTTGGCCCTTAATTTCTGAACCCGCTTCTCCCCACAACCCACAGACAGACCTGAGAGGGACATGAGGACATTGTTGATGGAGTATAACCAGGTGGTCCGGCTAGGAAAGAGCTGCAGAGGATGGGGAGATGGCTCCTGTAACACCCTAGCGCCCCCCACCCCCAGCCCTGTCCAACCCTTGGGGCCGTCCCGTCCCTCACCATCTCCAGCGTGGCCTCCTGATCATTCCGGTTCAAGATGAAAATGCCTTCTTCAGCCCCGAGGAGCAGGTGCTGGTCTGGAAAGGACAGACAGGGAGGACACTGGGACCTATCTCATCCTGGGGACCTCCCAGATCCCCGCCTGTCGGAACCCAAACACTGGCCCTGAGGCCGCAGCTCTAGCCCTTTATTCTCTCTCTCTCATCCCAGACTTTGTTTCCCCCAATCTGAGCTCAAACCCTGCCCAATCCCTTAAGCCAGTCTCAGGGTCCCCTGAGAAAGTGAAAGTGACTTGCCACTTTCAGGTGGTTCTTCTCTGACATACAGAACTGGCCCTGTCTCCTAAGTTCCTCCCCCAACCTTAGACCTGCCTCCCCAGATAGCCTGCCCCAATTCTGACCTCCAGCTGCTAGTCTGTCTTCACACTGATCTCCAAACTCTGACAACCTCAACTGAACTTTATCTGTCCAGCATCACCCCTGAACTCTGACGCTGTTCCTTTAACTTTGACCCCTTGTCTCTACATCTTTGATCCCAAACTCTTCTTCTCTGTAGCTTTCTGATCTCTAAAGCTCCTAACCACAAAATGCTGACCACAGTCTATCATGAACCTCCAGCTGACCTTCTGTACATCCATCTTGTCCCCCAAACTCTATCCTTTCTGTGAGATTTGGGTACCCTGACCCCCAAACTCTAATTTTTCCAGTTTTAACTCTCCAACTCCTCTTTCTTCTTCCCCTCTTGGATCCTCAAAGCCAAATGCAGTTGTGGTCTCCACTGTAATTCCGCCCTGCCACTCCCACCCCACCAAGACCCTCCCCTGTCCCTGCCCTTGAGCTGCCATTAAAGCTCCTCTGCGGGCCCCCTCACCCCTTGGCTTCTCCACCCCACCCAGGCCCTGCCGGACTCTAGGAAAGGCCCACCCTTGGTGGAGGGGTGTGTCCAGGCTGCTGTGCTGTGGATCCGGAGGGGACAGCCATTGAACAGCTTTACGAGAAGGGCACATCCCTGGGCAGGCCGTGGAGGGGCCAGCGGCAGATCCAGCCAAAGCGAGCAGCGGGGAACAGGAAGATGCAGTGGTTAAGACTCTGTCGCCAGAGTGCCAGGGATCAAACCCCACCTCTGCCTCCTCACCCCCATTCCCAGTCTTCTTTCCATGGTCTCAGATACCCATGGCCAACCACGGTCCAGAAACATGACATGGAAAATTCCAGGGATAAAGAAGAAATCACAAGTTTCATACAACTTTCACTTCAGTGTAATGTTCAAGTTATCCTGGTCGATTATTGTAGTTGTTAATCTCTTACTAATTCATCAAACAAACATCATAATTATGTGTATATAAGAAAAATACATATGTGGGGTTTGAAACTATAGTTCCTGGCATCCTGTGAGGGTCTTAGAACATAACCCCCATGGATAAGGGGCACTGCTATATAAACCACCTGGGCAAGCTACCTACCTGCCCTGTGCCTCAGTTTCCCCACCCGCGAGCGGGCAATGATCTCTACCCCTGGGATATCTATTTCCTGTGTGTGTGTAAGTTGGAGTCTCCCTACGCGGTTGCCAGGGCTGGCCTCAACCTCACAAACTCATGCTCCTCCTGCCCTAGCCTCTGAGTGGCTGGGACTGCATTGACCTGTGATGACTGCCTGTCTCTCTGAAGGGTTATACTACGGGAAGACAAGGTGTCAGCGTTCGGCACAGAAGAAGTGAAGTGTTCAACAACAAATGTCCCTCGTTATGATTATCAGTCCTCCCAGCGCCCTCCCATACCGCCTGGGCGTCCCGGCCCCCTCCCAAGGCACACAGCTGGCCTCACCTTTCTCTTCATCTTTTCCTTTTTAGGGGGCAGCAGTGGGGGCTGGTCAGGCTCCCGGGAAGCTGGGTTCCAGAGTGAGGGCTCTGAGAGGGGGTGGGAGGAAATGAGCCCCCAGGACCCCTGTCCCTGCCCACCCTCCATTCCCGGTCCACCCTGTTACCTGAATGGGCAGTGAGGTGGGGGCTGCGGGTGGCTGGGGGGGGACCAAGATGGGGGGTGCGTGGGGGGGGTCCACTGGCACACCGGACCAGCACCCCTGGGCTCAGCTGCCCCTCATCCCCCATTCCCCCAGGACCTTCATCTGATGGAGAACGGAACTTGGGCTTTGGAGACAGGAGAAGAACATGGAGGACATACATTAGCTGATCTCAGAGAGGGGACCCCGCTCCACCCAACCCTACCTCCCCCAGACCCACCAACCAAGGCCCCGAACCCCCCAACCGGGTCCGCAACCGCCCCCAGCCTCCCCCGGAAAACCCAACCCCAAAAAACAAAAAAACCCAAAAAACAAAAGGTAAAGCCCGGGGGTGGCAGGGCACTCCTAGGATCAGCTACTGACCAGTGTCCACGAAGCCAAGCTAAATACCCCATCCCTAGGTTGAGGGACGCCTAGGTCTGAATGGATCCACTGTCCAGGACTCCCAGACTCCCAGCCCCGGACAGCCCAGCATCCCTGCATCTGAGGACCTGGCTACCAGCCTGCAGGGCCTTACCTTGGGGGGCAGTGGCGGGGGAGTGTCCTCTGCAGAGGGGGGGCTGTAACACAATGGGGGGGAAGTGGGCGGGGTGCGGGAGAAGGCTAAGACCTGGGGCTGGAGGCCAGGAGGGAAGGGGGCCACTGGGTCTCCTTGGAGCTGAGGACTACGGGACCAAGAGCCTCAGCGACAACAGTGACAGCAACCCTGGGACGGGAAGCACTGGCCACACATGGAGCCTCGCACTCCCTGAAGCCAGTGAAGACAGCTTGCCCTGGCGGGATGCAGGTCTCACTCTGTGACTGCCCCCACTGCACACGAGATGTGCGGAGGGCCTGAGGAGTGGGCCCTGGGCTGCCCTAGGCCGGGACTTGGGGAAGGTGGAGTGACACTAGGGTGCAGCTCCGGGTCTGGGGCTCAGGGGAAATTTTTCAGGAACTGCGTTTTAGTTAGAGGTTGGGTGAGAGACACCAAAGGATCAGGTCCTGAGGCTGGGGCTAGGGCTGAGTTGATTTTGGGGGTGCTCTGGGGGCTGCACCCGCCCATCTGGGAGCTACATCTGGGATTGGCTGAAGGCCCAGGCTGAGCGGATAGGTGGGGAGAGATGTGTGACTGGGGCAGGTGACATCATGGAGGGAACTGGAGCAAAGCCTAGGGTGAGGGCAGGTAGGGGCTGCGCTGGGGGTCAGGTCAGGGCTCAGGGGCCAGGGGTAAGGAAGGTAGGGTCAACTGGGCATGTGCGGCAGCTGGGGCTGAGAGGGGGCCTGGGGCTGGGCTTCTCACATGTCCACATCGTCGTAATCATCATCGGACTCTGACAGGTGGCTCCTGAAGAGTGACGGGCATGAGCTTCAGGCAGCTCCCAGGTACACCCAGTGCCCTCCCCTCCCACCCCAGGGGCCTGACCTGGGACTGCTGCTCCTGAAGTCTGCGGGTGGCTGCAGGCGAGCCTGTGGGATAGGGAAGGGTAAGCCATGCCCAGGGGAGGGGGCCCTCGGGGAGGGGGAGGGTGTCTCACAGTGCTGTCAGCTGGGGGTCTGGGCTCCACTCCTCGGAGCTTCCTGAACTCCATGTGCCTCCCTGGGTGCGGGTGAGCAGGCAGCAAGACGGCGGAGAGAAGAGGAAGAGGGGGAGGTTAGAGTCAGCATCTCAGGGGTTGGTACTGTCCCTTAGAGGAAGGGTCTCGGCCTATAGAGGTCTCACTTTGGGGGTCAGTGTTTGGGATCAGAGAGAGAGAAGAGCTCAAAGTAGTTATAGAGTGTTTTCAAAATCCATTTGGGGGCTGGGGATGTGGTTCAGTGGTTAAGCGCCCCTGAGTTCAATCCCCTGTACAAAAAAAAAAAAGAGAGAATCCATTTGGGTATCAAGGATTCTGATAGATTCCTGAGGTCTCCTTGGTGGATGGGAGGCCTCATGAGGTCTGCTTGCAGTTCGGAGGGGTGGGGGTCTCTGTGGTTGTCATGGGGGTCAGGTGGTGATGAGGTTCTTTGGGTCTCTTGTGAGATCAGATGGTGATAAGGGTCTCTGGTGGCCTGATGGTAGGCAAAGGGGGTCTCTTGGATCTATTATAGGATCTATCAGGTGTCCCCAAACTGTAGGATTTTCTACTCACGATAGCAATCTGCGTCTGGGATCCCCAGAGAGCTGGACTGGTGGGTGGACCTGATACGCCGAGGGATGGCAGGGGGTGGCTGGGTGGAAGGGTGCCAAGTCAGGGCTCATGGTCCCCAAGCAGCCCCCACCGGCAGCTTGGGTCCAGCCGCGAGCCTTCCTCTCTCCCACGACCCTCTGCACCCATCCCTGTGCCGAGCTCCCTGCCTCCCGCCCTCTTCCCATCCATCCTAAGGGAGGTGCGGCAGGGGATGGGCCTGGGTGAAGGCCAGGAGGGTCCTGCCCTCGTGGCAGCCGGGACCCTCACCTCGGGATCCTCATCTTCAGTCTCAGCAATGGGGAGCCCCTTTCCGGGATTCCTCATTTTGTCCAGAAGATCTAGGATCAGGCCCCTACTCAGCCCAGGCTGGGCCACCAGCTGGTGCTGGGGAAGGAAGAGGGAGTCAGTAGACCAGGGCTGGGGTGGCGGGAAGGGCGGGGACAGGGCCTGAGAGCTGCCCAAGAGGCCTGCTAGGGGAGAAGGCAGGAAATGTGCAGAACTCTGAGAAGTTTTAAGGGATTAGAAGAATACAGGGCCTCCAGGGAGGCCTGGAGAACTCCAGGGGGGCCTTAGAAGAGATCGGCCTTTCCTTGGAATTCCAGAGGACTCTCAGGAAGGGGTCCTAGGGTCCTTGGGCATTCATGAGTTCTAATAACTAGGGGTCTCAGAAAAGTCTGGGGGATATGATTTGGAGGGTCTGGAGTGGTCCTGGGAAATTTTGAGGGGCCACGGGGGTCTGTGGCACTAAATTATGAATGCAGAATCCTGGGCTGGGAGAACCGGGGAGCGGGTGGGGTGCTTCTCAGGGAAAGGGATTTACACTGAGCATCTTGGTGGCGCCAGGTCGCTTCTTGGGGCTCTTGGTGAGTGTGACTTTGACAAAGTTGTGGAAGGCAGCTGACCTTGGAGGAAGAAGCCAGGTTCCGGGATGAGACTAGAGGCCTCTCCCATCAGACCTTCCAGCCCTGGCCCGGCCCACCCTGTCCCTCAACATGAACCTCCTTTACCATTTGCTCTTTTCCTTTAGCCGGGGAGGCTGGTAGCCACTCTTGGTCATGAGGAAGAGAACTCTAGAAGAGCAGGGGAAGCACATGGGGTTCAGACCCCCAAGGGAGCCAGACCTGATGGCTGAAGAAAAGGCATTCGGTGCTGGGGGACCCTTGGGCGTCTCCTTCAGGGGGACTAGGGGGACCTGCCTACCTGAGAGGATGAACATCAAAAAGTGGTGGCTGCAGCTCAGCCAGTTCAATGGCCGTGATCCCCAAGGACCAGATGTCACACAGCTCGTTGTACCCTCCCTTCAGGGCCACAGCAGCTACTTCTGGAGCCATCCTGGGGGCAGAGAGTCTCAGAGAGCCAGAGATGGCACAGGATGGAGCAGAACAGGAGGGGAAAGGCAAAGTATGGGTGAGGGGAGGTGGACACAGAGCCAGATGGAAATGGCCACAGAAACAAAGATGGACACCGAGAGGTAAAGGCAGAGAGAGAGGGGAAGGCAGAGACCAACAGAGGGACAAGAGTGAGAGGCACAGGAACAGAGCTGGGGTGCAGCTCAAGGGCGGAGCACTTGCCTCGCATGTGTGAGGCCTCGGGTTCCATCCCCAGCACCCCCCCAAAATAAATAAATAATTCTATGGGGGTGGGGGACAGAAACACAGAGGTAGCCACAGGCTGAGGAAATTCAGAAACAGACGTGGAGAAAAAGATCAGGATAAAAACCAACATGGGGCTGGGGATGTGGCTCTAGCGGTAGCGCGCTCGCCTGGCTGCAGGGGGCGCTGGGTTGGATCCTCAGCACCACAGACAAATAAAACAATGTGTGTGTCCACCGAAAACTAGAAAATAAATATTTAAAAATTTTTAAAAATATTAAAAAAAAACACAGGGTGAAAAAGGCAGAAAAGGGACAGACAGACGCGGAGAGCCAAGAGGCTCCCAGGGGGTAGTCGGGCTGGGAATGAGGCTGGAAGGAGAGTCTCAGGTGCCAGGGCAGGAACACCCCCCAAGCCTGGGGGGGGACCCTCACCAGTAAGGTGTCCCAATGAAAGACAGGCGTCTAGCCAGCGTCGCCCCAATCTGGGCCGAGATCCCAAAGTCAGCTGGAGACAGAGGGAGAGAGACAGCATGTCAATACCCCTGGGTGCCAGTTAGCTCCCTGTCACACCCGACAGCCACACTCACCCAGTCGGACCTCCCCAGCATCGTTGATGAGGATATTGGCTCCCTGGGCACAAGAGGAAGGATGCGATGCTGTCAGAGACCCCCTCTCCAGCCACTGCTGCCCCATCGCCTGGTCCTGCACTCCACAGGGCAAGCTACCCTATCCCTGAGCCCCCCATGAGCCACTCCCGCCTCCCGGCTCCACCCCTAGTGTCACCTTCACCCCCAGACCACCTTGATGTCCCGGTGTATCTTCTTCTGTGAGTGCAGGTAGGCCAGCCCCTGGGGAGGAGGCAGACAAGGGGGCTGGGAAGGCCTGCGGGCTGAAGCAAGCCCCGCCCCCAGGGCCCCCCAGGCCTCTCCTCACCTGGAGCACTTCCCTGCAGACATAGCTGATCTGGAGCTCTGAGAGGGAGCCAGTCACTGCAAAGGTCACCCCGGCCAGGCCAGGTGTTGGACAGGGAGCCAGGAAGTGGGGGTGGAGTTGGGGGTTCCCTGGCTCCACCTACCCACACCAGCTGAGAGAGTGCCCAAGAGGGAGGGGGCACAGGAGGATGGGACAGGTGGGAAGTCAGAGAGGGAGGCCGAGGGGAGGCTGGGAGGTCACAAGGCTGGGAGAGAGATTGTGATGCATGGACACAGGCCAGAGGGAGACAGTCACTGGATGTTATTTACGTCTACTGTGTGCATCTAAGGACACAGCCGTGACCAAGAGACACATGCCTGCCCTCGTGGAGAGAACGTTCCAGTGGGGAAGACAGATGATAAGCAAGTAAAACACACAGCACATAGGGCTGGGCCTGTGGTTTGGTGGTAGAGCACTTGCCAAGCATGTGCCAGGCCCTGGCTTCAATCCCCAGCACCAATGGGGGAAAATTTTATATATGTGCACATGGGTATGCACCCATATATGCACCCACAAACAATAAACAGGAAAACAGAGCGATAAAGATAACAGGAAATATGTGTAGGAAAGACTATGACATTTTACACCACGATGTCATAAGCTACGAAAGTGACAGCGGGGGACACGAGGGACCTCCTCAGAGGGAGAAGAGGAATAGCAAGGGCAGGGATGGGGGGTGGGTGGGACGGTTTCTGGGGCTGAAAAATGGCCAAGTGGAGGGACAGAGCAGGGAGGAGAAAAGCCATCAAAGAAAGGCCGGTCAGCTTGGGTGGACCAGGGCCAGGGCAAAGGCCATGAGGAGTTGGGGCTTCAGAGGGACACGGGAGCCCTGGGAGGCCTCCCAACAGGAGAGTGACGTGACTGCCTGCAAAATGAGGAATGGCAGAGGGTGACAGCGACAGAGAGAAACAGGGACAGAGCCAAACTGAGACACAGAAAGAGCCAGGCAGAGACCAAACGCGGTATGACAGACATTTTGAAAGAAAGAGATATTGGAGGGGTAAAGAGGGGACAATAGAGACAAGAGACAGGGGAGGCACAGAAACCAGGCCTGAGAGACCTGTTGTGTGAGTCACTTCCTCTCTGTGGGCCTCAGTTTCCCCCTCTTTGGAGGGTTTTTTCTTTTGCTGTGCTAGGGATGGAACCCCCGGCCTCCATCCACCAGGCAAGCCTCTACCCCTGAGCTACCCTCCAGCCCCCTGAGAGCTTCTTAATTAGGTCCTTCATTTTCTGACCTTTGAGGTCTTGAGCTAGAGGGAATTAGGGGATCATGGAGGACAGAAGCAAACTCAGAAATACAGAGAGGAGTAGCTCAGTGGGAGAGCACTTGCCCAGCATGCATCAGGCCCTGGGTTCCCTGTGCACCACCACCACCAAAAAAAAAAAAAAGTAGGAGAAGAAAGAAAAAAGAGAGAAAGGTAATGACCATCAGAGGCTCACCCACCCCATTCTCAAATTTTCTGAGACTAAAAGGCAGGCTGAGGAAGAGAACCAGAAATCCATTCACTCATTTGATGAGACATAGAGGGAAGGAGGATGGGGGCGGGGGGAGGGTGTTGTCACTGCATACAGAAAGACTGAGCCTGGACAGCAGGGTCCCCACCTGCTCAGTCACCACAGGCTTCTCAGCATCCTCCAGGCCAGGCCCAGGACAGGGAGGGGCTTGTTGCATGAAACGTGGAACAGGAAGACAGTTCCCAGGAACACAAACACTGAGACACTGAACAGGAAAGCTGGATTTGAAGGGTCAAGGGGGCCTAGATCCCTTGTCCCTCCTCTAACCTTGGTAGATGTCCTGGAGAGAGCCAGCCCCACAGAATTCCATGCAGATCCAGAGCTTCTGCAACCTATGAAAGTTCAAGAGTAACTATATTATTATTTATAGGAGACAGCCCCTGGTACACCGTCTTGTTCTATCTCAATTAGAACTTGAATGTACAGGTGTCATCTGTCTCCCCTTGTCCACCAGAGTAAGACTGTTTCAATCCCATTTTACAGAGAAGGAAATTGGGGGTCGGACAGGAAATCTGTTTTCTGGACAATTCCATTTGGACCTAAGTCTTTGGGCTTCAAATCCAGGGCACCCTTCTGCTGTCCTAGGCTTTCTGAGAAGACAGAGCCGAGATGCAGGTTGTGGAGGCTTGGTGGGACAGACAGGCCCAGGGTGTCAGATCTGGGGAACTGAGGTCATTATTGGGGCAGCAGAGACATTATTTTGGAGGTCAGAGAATTTAGGGGTTCATATTAAAGGAGAAGAATAAAACTGGGGAACCCAAAGGGCAGAATAATGAAAGATTTATTTGAAGGGAGTTGATTTCAGATGTGGTTAATACGAAGGGATCAGAAATGGGACCCTGGGTCAGAAATGGGAGTTCTGGATTGGGAATTAAGTTAGGAGTGACCTGGTCAGAGACTTTGGTCTGGGGATCAACCTAGGGAGTGCTCCAATTAAAAGTGGGAGTCCAAGGTTGGAGTCAGGTTAGGGTATCTGGGTCAAAAGAGGAAGTCAGGACAGGGGATGAGGATAGGGGGTGTCTAATCAGAAGTGAGGACTCTGAGTTAGGGGCTGGGCTGGGTCCCTGAGGTTGATCACCAGAGGTAACTGCCATGGTAGGCCACGATGTTGGCATGCCGGCAAGTTTTCAACATGAGGATTTCCTTCTGAAGGGTGGACACATCATCATCTGCAAGGAGAGGCAGGAGAAAAAGGTGGCTTCAGACAAGGAGTCACTGGAAGGGAACGGGGACCCCCCAGCCGGTGGGGGTGGGTTGGGGAAGGAGTTTCTGGGTCCCCTCTCACCAGGCTCCATCTTCACCATCTTCAGTGCCACCAGGTCTCCGGACACCTTGTCTCGAGCCTGGAAAAGGGGAAGTTGGCTCTCAGCGCCTCCATCGCTGAGTCCTTCTCAGTATCCTCCACAAGGCCAAGGACTGGGACCCTCTTGCATCCTATCCCTTATCGATTCTCAACCTAAAGATCACTGGTTTGAGGGTGACGGAGACCAAGGGGCTTCCTCACCTTGAACACTTCCCCATAGGTGCCGCCACCCAGCCGTTGCAGCAGGTCATAATGGTCCCGGGGATCCCTGTTAAAAATGTCGGGGTCCACGAGCTCCATCCCTGGAGGCCTGAGCTAGGCCTGCGCCCAGGGGCCAGCAGGGCCTCAGGGCTGGAGCTAGGAGCGCTGGCACCTCCTTCTCTCCCCACAAGCCCTGCTCCCGCCTTGCCTCTGAGGGCTGTGGCCTTCCCCCTCCCCACTCTCGCTTCCTGCCCTAGCTGCAGAACTGTGCAAAGGGCTCCACCCCCCTGTCCCCTGGGCCCTCAGATCCTGGGGACCCATGGAACCTTCCTTTTCACCTCTATGGCCCAGGGCTGGATGTAAATGAGATGCAAACTGTCTTGATTCTACTGAGGGTAGGGGGTGCCCTGGCACCCCCTGCTCCCCTTCTGGGTGGGGCTACAAACCATAGTGGAACTCTGCTGGGTGCTTGAAAGTTTGACCACAACGCAGAGGTTGCAGGTCTGCATAGGAACGCTATGTAGCTCACATGCTGTTCACCTTTAAAGTACATGCATTTAAAAGTGTCAGCTCCTGCATGCCCATGGCGGTGCAGGGGCAGTGCACATGCCTGAATACCCGTGTGTACACATGTGTATGTCCTCACAGCACATACACTCACTCATTCATGGCACATGTCTGTGCATTCACGCCTGCAGTGCACAGAATCAGCACACAAACAATTCATGACACATGGGACGGTCGCTTCTGTGCCCAGTCTGGAGCTTAACGGAGACTGGGCTCGATCCCGAATTTCCCGGCAGAGCACAATAGCTTTATGGTTCCCTATTCATGGAATTGGGGTGGAGGGTGGAGACAAGGGTCCAGGACTTGAAACTGGGCAGGTATGCAAGCTGGATCCGGCCTCGGGGGCCCAAACCTGAGGCAAGAATCATTTTCAAGAGCATTTCCATAGGGAGTTGGCCATGGCTCAAATGGAGGACTACTACGTTTGTGAGATTACGGTGCGCAACTCAACGTGCGCGCGCACTGTCGGAAGCTCGGTCTCCTTTCCGAAAAATTCGTGCACGCGCGCGTCCCGGGCTCGGGACTGGGTCCTGCAAACCCGGGAAAGCTTAGCCCCGTCTACTGCCCCAGAGCAAGCGCCTGCGCTTTGCGGTAGACTAAGCTTTTTCTCACGCTGTTCTCTCTCCCCGCCGGGTGGAGCGAGTGCGCACGCGCCAATTACGCTTTCTGGGAAGAAATCACGTGGCAGCCGGAAAGCGTGGCAGCTGCCGGAAGAGCCTTCCCCTTCTTCGTTGTCCGGCTCTGGAGCGAGAGCAATGACGTAGTTTCCGTTTCCACTACCTCTTCCTCTTCCGGCCCTCGCGGGTGCTTCTCTGGGCTGGCGTTCGACTCCGGCGGTGGTTGTGGAAGGCGCCCGGAGTCATGGCCATGTTTGAGCAGATGAGAGCGAACGTGGGCAAGTTGCTCAAGGGTATCGACAGGTCGGAGCTCGGTCAGAGGGAGCGCTGTAGCCAAGCGGGGTGGAGATTTCCGGAGACCGCAAGGGGTGGTCCGAGTTCTGGGCTTGCCTTGGCCGGGATTTCTCCGTCTTCCGGCATGTGGGGAGGTCGTCCTGGAGGAGGTGTTGAAGGAAAAGACACCAGAAAGGCCTAATAAGACAGCCTGTCGCTCACGCATCTCTTTGATTACTTTAAAGTTTTCCCTCCTCTCCCTCGGCCGTCCCTCTTTCAGGCCCTCGCAGTTTCTTCTACCAGCTCCTCGGTCTCAGTGCCCGAGCATTTCTTTCTCCTCTGCCCCTCATGTCATTCATTCAACACCTGTTTACCCGACTTCGTTGTGTTAGTGCTCAGTAGTATTAGAAACCAGAGGCGACCAAGACAGCCACAAGTCGTGCTTTCATGAACTGAGTTCTCTTCCAGAGGGGACACAAGCAACAAGCACTGATAGTCAGGAGTGGTCAGGGCAAGGCAGGGGAAAGCAAAGGCCCAAATGTTCAGGGCTGAAATAGAGGAAGCAAGAGAGTATGGTTTGGACTGGTGGGAGCTTGACAGGGTTGGGTAGCAGAGAATTTCAGAAGACTATGTATACAGGCAATAGTGACTGCCTGGCAAGTTGGGAAACGTGCTAGACAAGCCCCAGGTCTCCAGTGGGGTTTAGAGCTTAGGCAAGAGGTGTGGATTATGGACAGGTTTTATTAGAGGTTATAAAGCTGACTTGTATTTGGGTAGAGCCAGTGGCCAGGATCAGATTCAGAGGGGAAAGAAAGGAGAAGCAGATTACAGTGGCCCCTTGGCCCCACAAAGGGACTGGCCTCAGCTCCTGTCTCCTCTTTATTCACCCACTTCAATTCTCCTCTAGGTACAATCCAGAGAACCTGGCCACCTTGGAGCGCTATGTGGAGACACAGGCCAAGGAGAATGCCTATGATTTGGAAGCCAACCTGGCTGTCCTGAAGTTGTGAGTGTCCTGTCCCTAGCCCCATGCTGTTGGCTAGCTAGCAGGGTTCCAGTCCCAGTATGGGGCATGGCAGTAGGGGTGTCTGGAGTAGCCTGCAGGATGTGGCTTCTCTTTGGTGTGCAAGACTAGCAAGCCAAGGAAGATGAGACATTTAGGGTGAGGGAAGTTTAAAAAAAAATAGTTGCAAAACACATACAAGGTAGTATGTAAAACACACTTAGTTTAACGGATGTGAATGAATACCCAGGTTTCCACTGTTCATGTTGTGTAATTGTCGGAAGCACCATAGGCCCTTTGTCCATATGCTCTATCTCAACCAAACCCCCACCTTTGGTAACCATTGTCACAGTCTCATGGTGTGGCTTTTCATGGTTGTTTACCACACATGCTTGCATCTGGATCCGCTTAGCTCAATTTTGCTTGCTTTGACCTTGACAGGACCATAATCATACAGCAGAGCCCCTTTTGCACCTAGTACCTTCCACCAAGCATTGGGTTTGTGACACCCATCCATTTGTGTGTGTGTGTGGTTGCAGTTTATTCTCATTGTTGTGTAGTATTTCACTATGTGACTGTCCTAATGGTCTGTTCCCTGTTGATGGATACTTGGGTTCTTCCCCCTCAAATGATTGATTATTTATTTATTTATTTATAACAATTATCAGCTTGTAATTTCTGCAGATGACATAACTTTAGCTTTCCTGGCTGTTAAATGGAGAGACCACTTGTATACGTGGGTGGTTTAGGTTGTTTCTGGTGATTGCCACTGCTGGACGAGTGCTCGCCATGTGTCAGCTGCTGTGCTGCGGATGCAGGCACGAGCCCACTGCTGGGCCTCCCTGGGAGGTTGATATGGGTTCATCTTATTTTTGTTTGTTTTTACACCAGGAATTGAACCCAGGGCTCACAGGCTAAATACACACACTACCGCTGAGCTGCACCTTCAGTTTTTTCCTCTATTGAAAGAAAACTGAAGCACAGAGTTCTAAATAGGCAGTCCAAGGCCAGGTAGCAGGAGCTGGCCAAGGGAGCCTGGGCAGAGCCATAACCACTACTCCACATTCTAGCCTTGATTCATTTACTTTTTATTTTTATTTTTTTTTACTACTAGGAATTGAACCCAGAGGTGCTTTTCTACTGGGTTACATCCCCAGCCCTTTTTATTTTTTATTTTGTGACATTAGAATTTTACTAAGTTGCTGAGGCTGAACTTGAACTTGTCATCCTCCTGTCTTAGCCTCCGGAGTTGCTAGGATTATAGGCATGACCACTGTGCCAAGCTTCCTTCTAGCCTCGTTTCTTTGCGAGGCTCATGGCTGAGTCTGCCCTGTGGGGTGGTGGTGAGGATCAACTATCCCCATCTCCAGAGCAGGCAGGGTTGCTCAGGGAGATTAGCCAGAAAATGTGGTTGGGGTTGGAGCCCAGGCAGGTTTGACCCCAGGATCCAGACTAAAGCAGTGGCCTCCTGCCTGGCACTTGGTGAAGTTTGGGGGGGTTGAAGTTGTCACTGCTATTGTATATCTTATTCCCTTCTTAGGTACCAGTTCAACCCAGCCTTCTTTCAGACCACCGTCACTGCCCAGATCCTGTTGAAGGCCCTCACCAACCTGCCCCACACGGACTTCACCCTGTGCAAGTGCATGATCGACCAGGCACACGTATCCTTTGTTTGGGAGTGGGGGTGGGAGACAAAGCCTGCAGAGTGGTCTGTGAGTTCAGACTCAGCTGCTGGGCAGGGCTGGGACATTGCCATGACTGAGACGGGCCCTGCCCTCGTGGAGCTCTCATAGTCCAGTGAGGTGACAGGCAGGTCCCCCATCAGTGACAGGCTGGAGCTGTCAGGGGTAGGGTGAGTGAAGCCAGCAGAGGCACCTGGCCCTGACTGGAGGGAACCCGTGAAAGCTAGGTGGATGGGCAGTGAGAGCGATCCTAAAGGATGAAAGAGCTCCTTGCTGTCCTTTAGAGACAGAAGAAGCAGCGGGACCTAGGACAGCACAGATTTCTAAGTGGAATGCAGCCAGAGTCCAGGGCACATGGAGAGCTGTACAACCGCAGGCTGCTGTGGTCAGATTTATGCCAGCTGCACAGAGGACACTGGGTGAGAGGCAGGAGGGCCTGGCCAGGCTCACGAAGAACTATATTGTCGGCTCCAAGCGCAGAAACTTTTTTTTTTTTTTTTAAGAGAGAGAGAGAGAGAGAATTTTTAATATTTATTTTTTAGTTCTCGGCGGACACAACATCTTTGTTGGTATGTGGTGCTGAGGATCGAACCCGGGCCGCATGCATGCCAGGCAAGCGCACTACCGCTTGAGCCATATCCCCAGCCCCAAGCGCAGAAACTTAATGCACATGAATCCTTAGGAATGTGGAATGGAAATGACATCCTTGAGCTGGTTGGTGTCTGATCCGGGGCTTGGCCAGGTGAGCTTCAGCTTACATTTGATCACTGGACAAACTCAGCAGAATTCCCAACCCCTGCCTGGCGAGGCAAGTGGACCCGTGGGCCCAGCCCTCATACTCGCCTGCTCATCAGTTGTTGAGCCAAGAGATGGCAGATGACTCACTGAACTTACTCTGCCAGCTGTGTCCAAAGTGTCCATAAGATGTGTCCATAAGCCTTGACTCAATCCCAGTATTTGGCAGACCACAGTTTACTGTGTTGTCCCCACTGTTGGACCCTTGGGTTGTTTCTCACCTTTGAATCTTACAAACAGGGCTACAGTGGCAGGGTGGCTTGTGCCTATAATCCCAGCAACTCGGGAGGCTGAGGCATGAGGTCACAAGTTCAAGACCAGCCTCAGGAACTTAGTGAGGCCCTGAGCAACTTAGTGAACCTCTGTTTTCAGTAAAAGGCTTGGGGATGCCAGTGCCCCTGGTTTAATCCCCAGTACCAAAAAGGAAAACAACAAATAGTGCTTCCATAACACCCTTTCTTCTCCGTACATCCACAGCAAAAATAAGATGGCCTTGGTTCCCAGTTCTGTTTCTGAGCTGTCTTTGGTAGAAGGGGGTGGCTGTGGGGAGAGGGTGATCAGGATTTAGCCATGCAGGCTCCAGGACCTTTTTCCTTAACACTTCCTTCTGCTAGCAAGAAGAGCGGCCCATCAGGCAGATTTTGTACCTCGGGGACCTGCTGGAGACCTGCCACTTCCAGGCCTTCTGGGTAAAGAGGGGCCCAGGGCAGGGCGGGTGGTGGCCCTATGGTGCGCATTTGTTGCTTGTCTGCTTGGCGAAGGGCCCTGTCCTCAGTGTTCGTCCTCACGGAGCCAGGTCTCAGATGGTCTCTGTGCCCACAAGGCTTGGCCTGAGCCTGTCCCCTTCTCCTGTCCTTCCACTGGGCCTTCTAGTGCAGTCCCTTGGTCGTTAGCAGAAGTCCTCCGGCTCCTCAGCCGCTCTCAGTGCCCGCCCCTCTTTCCTGTGGCATCCAGAGCTCAGCCCTCACAAACAGGCTCCAAGTGGGAGGCTAGGTCGCCTCCTTGCTCCTCACTGCCTCTCCCAGAGCCGGTTCCCTGCTCCTCAAAATCACTGCTCTGAGTTCTGAGGCTCCCACCTTCCCTGCCTTGTTGGTAACAGCCCCCTGGGTGACTGCTCCTCGTTTCTTAAAGAATCTAGTCCTTCTCACTGCCACTCCTACTGCTCCTTGTTCTGCGATGTTTGAAGAGCCACACAGGTGACCCACTGACACCAGTCTCTAGGTTCCATGATCTCTCTCTTTTTAAAAAAAATTATAGGGCTGGGGATGTGGCTCAAGCGGTAGCGCGCTCGCCTGGCATGCGTGCAGCCCTGGTTCAATCCTCAGCACCACATACCAACAAAGATGTTGTGTCCGCCGATAACTAAAAAAGAAATATTAGAATTCTCTCTTTCTCTCTCTCTCTCTTTAAAAAAAAAAAGATTATATACATATTTTTTTTAATTGTTGATGGACCTTCATTTTACTCATTTATTTATATGTGGTGCTGAGAATCCAACCCAGTGCCTCCTCCGTGCTGGGCAACGCTCTGCCCCTGAGGCCCCCCCCCAGCCCTCCATGACCTCTTGTCCTCCTGGCTCATCTTCTGTCTGAGGGGAGCTGTGGTCATGGCAGTGCCAGCTCTTCTCAGCATGCAGAGCCTCCGAGGAGGTTTGAAATGGGAATGTGGGTGTGACCCGGGCTTTAGGATTTGGAGGGGCTACCCAGGAAGTGCCACATGGAGCAGAGCCTGGGAGCTGCTGTCTTTGACTTGTCCTCACCAACGATTGCTCCTGAATTCACTCCACCCCCCGGCCCCCTCCTCAGCCCCAGCTCACCCTGTGAGTTCTCCCACTGACACCTGGGCCTGACCAGTGTTCTGGGCCTGCTTGGGCTGCTCAGGTTCTGCTCCCTTCTCTGAAATGGCCATCTACCCCTGCGCAGCCACATCTGAAATGATGAATGGCTGAGAGAAACACCAGGGGCGCGTGACTCCTGGGAAGGCACGGGTCCTCAGCCCTTCTGAGTGACCTCGTTCCTGCCCTGGTTCCTCCCCTGGACTCGCGGACCTCCCTTCACACATCCCCTTCTCACCCCTTTCCCACCTCAGCTCATGGTCTGGTTTCTTGTCTTGTGAGAAATAGAAATAGAGCGGAGCAGAGCTCACGTGTTTTCCCAGACCCTGATGTCGGAGTGACTTAGTGTGTAACTGCTGTTTCAGCAGGTGAAGTGGCTGAGGCGACCCTCCTAAAGCATGGGGACCCTTCCCCTTGCCACACCAGCCTTTTCCGACTCCTCCAAACGAGAACCTGCCCTTCCTGGGTTGTTTATTTTGAGACAGCGTCTCACTGAGTTGGCAGGGTGCCCTCGAGCTTGTAATCCTCCTGCCCCGGACTCCCGGGTCACTGGGGTTACAGGCAGTGCCACTGCACCCAGCTCTTCCCTGGTTTTAAAACCGAAAATCCCTAGCAAGCTCCTGCCTGCCGGGTCTGCGTGGCCCCGTGCATTCCCGCAGCGCTGGCCAGAGCAGTGCTGCGGTTGTTTCAGGCCTCGGCCTGCTTCGTCCAGAGCAAGGTCATGGAAGTTTCAGACAATTCAAGTCCTCTGTCTCAGGAAACTCATTTCATATAAGTGAGTCAGCCCCGGGGGTCACCTGCTTGTGGGAGAGGCTCCTGTGCTCCAGGCCTCCTTTGCCCCTGTTCGCAGGACCCCTCTCTAGTCAACCCACTCAGGCCTTTGTCACCTCACGCCCACCCCCAGTGTGCACACATGCCCCTTGAAGCCGCGTGTCAGATACAGAGACCGCCGTGTCACTGGGTCAGGCCTGTGTCACCTGCCCTATCAGCTGACCCTGGCACAGGTGGTCACACTCCGCTCCCTGGAACCCTTCATCATCTAGCTCCCAGTACAGCATCCTCCTGGTTTTCCTCCTGCCTCGTGGCGGCTCTTCCCTACTTGGGGTTTGTGGGGCTCTTCTTTTCTCCCACTCCTGTTGGAGGAAGCCCTCGTTGAAGAAGTGACATTTGAGCAAAAACCTGCTGGAGGCAGGAGGGCCAGCTGTGGAGGAGGAAAGTTCCAGACAAACAGCAGTGCAAAGGCCCTGAGGGGGGGAGGGGCGTTGGGAGCAGCAAGGAGGTGCCTGCAAGTGAGTGGGGGGTGGGTGGGGGTGAGCAGGCACCTGTGGGCCTCCTGGGCCTTGGTTGAAAGGTTGGCTTTTTCCCTATGACAATGGCCAGGACAGGTAAGGAGTATAGGTAGCTACCCTGTGTCTGACTTCTGCCTGGATCATTTCTCCGCTGAGTTCTCCTGGTCTCTGTGTCTGGAATGGACCTAAAAACAGTGACATCACACATGTTGCACGTGGCGGGGTGGCAATGTGTGTAGGTCAGCGCTCGCATGTTGGTGGCTGCTGCTGTCCTTAGGGACACTGACACTGTGCTTGCCGTCCATCCCCTGCAGCAAGCCCTGGATGAAAACATGGACCTCTTGGAAGGTATAACTGGCTTTGAAGACTCTGTCCGGAAGTGTAAGTCCTTTCTGAGCCTGGGCTCTGTACGGAGAGGGCTGGGGAGTGGTGACGGTCCCTCTCCATCATTCCCTCTCATCCATAGTTATCTGCCACGTCGTGGGCATCACATACCAGCACATTGACCGCTGGTTGCTGGCCGAGATGCTCGGGGATCTGACAGGTAAGACCTCTGGGTCCCTTGTGTCAATCTCAGGGTTTGGGGGTGGTCGGGGCAGTGGGCTTCTGCCAACTCCAGCCTCTCTGGGACATTACTGGAGGTGCAGCCCAGGGAGGGCGCAGGGCCTGGTATTGGTGGTTCCCTTCCTCGGGGACACTCTGTGCCACTCAATCTCTCTGTATCCACTATTCAAGTGCCGACTTTGTGCCAGATTTTGTTTAGATTCTGGTCATGTGACAGTGAACAAAACAGAAGGGCTCGGGTTCATTTTCAAGGAGGGAGCATGTGTGTGTCCAGTGGCCATTCATGCTGCAGAGGACAGCAGCCTGCTCACGGGGCGACTGAGAGCAGACTGGACAAGGGGCTCGGGAGCAGCGGCCTGCCTGTCATTCACAGGGCAGCCTGGGCACTGTGGTCCAAAGCAGAGTGACTGTGGGTACAGAGGGGTCGTGAGGGCAGAGAGGTGGTTAGAGGGGCATCTGTAGCCCGTGCAGGGTCTCAGGATGAGTGTCTCCTTGTTCTTGAATGAAATAACCATAGATAGGAACCTCTGAGCAGGGAGCCGTGATCAGATCGATGTTTTTAAAAGATCCCCCCAAAAATGCAGGAAGGGAAGATAAGAAACTAAGGGGGTGATCACACCTGGGAGAGGAGGCAGGGGCAGGGAAGAGAGGTGAGGGTGGGTTGAGTCTTGGGAGAATCTTGTGGAATTTTTGCCTTTAGATGTAGGTTGTGTGTGTCTGTTTTTTTGTTTTTGTTTTTTTTCCCCAGTGGGAGCTAATTTTGCTGGACATTTTGTGTTTGGCACATGCTAA